GCATCATCCCATTGCTCTTGTTTTAAGATAAGGGAAGCAGAAGCTTGCAAAACTTCTCAGCATCTCTGAGCGCAAGATTAAGAGTAGCAATTGGTTACAATGCTGTTCCCACAGTAGTAAAGCTACCTGTTTAAGCCATTTCCTGGCTTTGTAATTCACTGTTTCCTCTACAGTTTCCATCTCTTTGACTTCACAGGCTTATTTCCACTGGAAGTTATTTTCAGAAGGACAATCCCAAAAGCTCCAGACCAAGAAGTATCTGCACAGTAGTCAGCTCTTCCCCCCAGACTTGGGAAGGAAGACTCTCCACTCTCCTTCTGCACTACAAATAAGGTTTGCATGGGCTGCTTCTTACAAAAAAACATTTTTCAATATGGGGACATTTGAAATTGTTGTTCTACATGGTTTTTTTCTTCTTAGGAATGTGTTCAAGCTACTCAGCAGCTCTGTTGTACTTTGTGACTCTGATTATGACCGGGATTGTACATAGCTGGTTTGGGATATCCACTACCTGATTTCCAGAGCGGTGGTCTGTGCTTGCTGGTCATAGTTTATCTTCATTTTCTTCTAAGTTTCAGCAGATCATGAGTCCAGTATTTTGGAGAAGAATACTCCCTGATTATGCATCTGTAAGTTCTCTGGTTTCTCCCCAAAAAAGGTCCTCTCCCACATCTTAAAGAAAAGTGGGTGAAGTTAGGGCTTCTGAGTACTCAAATTCCATTCCCACAGTTGTACAGAAGCAGAGACCATGTCTGCCAAGGCTGAGGTCAAGCATGTTATTCCTGTGAGCTACTCCAGACTTAAAGGAAACACTGAACCTTTCTTTGAAAGGAATGTGAAGCATATTAGTTTCTAGGATTTTACTGTTCAGATTTAGAGTCAAAGCAGCTCCTCTCACCAATACTATCTGAAAAGAGACTGCAGTTCGAGTTAAATTAAAATTACACAAGGAGGACCATGCATTCCATGCCAACCTACCAATTGTCTCACTGATTATAAAGATTAAAATTACAGGATCTGGCCTCCTAGCTGTTGTAAGCTTCTCATGCTGTCTATTAAGGTTGCTAGACTTCCTACTATGAGGTCTGTCCCTCCTCACTGGAGTGAAAGGTAGTAGCTATAATTTAGGAGTAGATTTAGTTTTAACCTCTGTTATGTACTTGATCAGCTCTTTGGATGTTCAGCCAAAAAAGCTTAAGAGTTATTTTCACCCCCTCCAGTTAAAATTTCTGCCATCCTTTCCCCAAAGACAATTCCTTCAGTGTAAAAAAACAATCCAGAGAAACAAAACATTTTTGGTCCTTCTGTAGGCCAAAAAAACTTACATCCTTGGAATAGGGCCAGACTTGGTCAAGTACCAAGTATGTGACACTTTAACCCTTGTTCAGTCTTTATCAGAAATGGTAGCTTGCACTGTTCCCTTCCTCTGCATAGCAGGCACATAAAAACACATTTCTCACAGCATTCCTCCTTCATCATAACTTGAGATGAGGTTGAGAGATACTCCTGAAGCCAATGGGAGCAGCAGTTCCAACACCTCTCACAATAATCACCCTGAAAAATCCAGGGTCACGCCCATGTTTGCAGTGAGGCTGATATGGTTCTGCTCTTGACAGTCAGAGGGGCTGCTCACTGCTGCTCAGCCTGAGCTGATCAACTGCCTGCAGTCCCATGGAAGTTAAGAGAATTTGCTCTGTTGCACAAAACGTGGTGTCCCGCAGGTGGCTGAAAACACCATCATTTCTCTCACACATTGAATTTACTAGCAAGCAAAGCACAAAAATGCTGGCTTTCTAGATTATGATTTTTTGCACTCTTCCAAATTCTGTAAACACAAATGTAATTTCCCCCCAAATCATGAAGATGAATACACAAGAGGGTTTAGATAAATTCTTAGTCTGTTTAAATACGATGTTCGTGTGCTCTTCATGGATTGCTGGGGCCTTTAACACAAGCACCTTGGAAGGATTAGTTTGCATGGGAATTCAAGCACTCTCAGACCAGTCTTGTCTTACTGTCAAGTATTAGCTTCACTGACAGGTGACTGGGGGCTTCACCTGGCCCATCCCCAGGGCCTGAAGTTAGATTCCTTGGCAACTTCAGGTGAAGCTTTTCAGCAGTAAGTTAACACTGCAGCAAGCCAAGATCTCCAAGGAGAAATCACTCAGTGCCAAGTACAAAGGCCACCACGTCAGCTGCTGCATCCTATGCTACTATAGCAATACCTTTTTCAGCAAAGACCATCATCATACAAGTTCTCTTTTTCAATCTGAAGAGGATACCAAAGTAGATCAATTGCTATTCATGATAATCTTAAGCTGTGTTTTCTATTCAAAACTCCACACCAAGGTTCTAAGAAATTACATGTCTGCTGTATGGTAAGTTCTTAACAGCTGAGGATCCTACTGGAAAGGAACTGAAAACATTATTCCTTCAAAAGGATATACTTAGGAAAAAAAGGATTAATAGTAATTGAGTGCAAGATGCAATGTTTCAGGACAAGCAGATTTTTGGGGACTTTCCCACTTCTTCTGTACAGTAGTGCCTTGTGGATTTTGTGCAAGAGTTGGCAGGAAGATGGCTAGATGCTTTAGCTTACTTTTTGATGACAGGGAAATCCAATTTTGAAAGAAATTATAAATGAAAAATAGATAAAAATAATAATTATTTATATATGAATAAAAATGAAGCTTGTGTCTATGGGCCTCTCCTCACTATGCTGGATAAGTGTTTTAAGGGATTTTTTAAATATGTAGTTAAACTATTGTATTCTTCACATCTCACCAATGATCCATCCTTTTTGGCTTCTCATTCACAACCACATTTTGGACCTACTGCCAAACTTCATTCAACACTGCACTTTGGCTACGGGAATTATAGACACAGACAGAGAAGCATCTGCACTGGGATGGTTTATTGATGCTTTCAAAAGATTCAGTCTTCCTGAGGAAGCTAATAACACAGAATTTCTACTTCCAGAACCTGTAACATGATATTTTATTTTTTTTCAAAGAACAGATCTTTCTCTGCATAACACTGTTTTTCAGCTCAAGTGATTTTGTAAGCATCAGCTTCAAGCTACACATAAAAGTTTGCCTCCATTTATTTTGGATAATTTTCACTGTCCCAACCCAAAATGTGGTTCATATGACTCAGCTAATAGCTCAAATTAATTGCAGTAGCAGTCTCAAGTTCTCACTCTGGGACCCATGCTGTCTATGCTAAGACTTGTACAAAATAAATGCAATTTGTTTTGTAACTTAGGAAGAAATGACCTTTTAAACTTATTTTTAAAGTGCTGGCAGTAGAAAAACAAGTCATGTAAATAGTATAAATAGCATGGATCATGGCTATCTGCTTTGTCTTCCTTGAAAGCAGAGAATTGAAAAGGAGTTTGTTCTACTCAGAGATCTTCACCAGGGTTTGTTAGTCTTCACTGTTTAAGAACAGAGCTCAGACCATATTGTTCCTCCAGTTTTTCCACAATAAAAGCTGCTGATTTCCTATTCTTAATAATGTCAGACAATTATTACAGATCAGTGCCCTTAACAAATTTACCTTGGAGGGACAGACAAAGAGGTAGATCACCTGTTAGAGAACACATTTGAAAAAAAGCAGACTAGACAAAACAACTGCAATATTTCTCCATAGCAGTAAGTTCTCCTACTGAAGTTAGCCTGGTAAGTTTAATAGTTAAGGAAAAACAGAGTGGGTATTTACTCACACACATTTTCATGAAGGGAACAATTGTAATGGCAGCAAGAAAAACACACTTTTTAGACAAACTGATATTACATCACATTAGTGGGCCACAGAATCCTTTAAAAAAATAAACCTTTTGAGACATGAGAATAAAAATCACATTCTAGCATGCTTTAAATAGCTGAACTGCTCTTCAAAGCTGAAGTTTCCAGCTATTGGCAAGGACAATTATACCTCCTCATTTGGAAATTAAAAAGCATTTAGCAATAAGTTAATGCTAGCCTACATGTAAGTGAGCTAAATACTAGGCAAAGATTCTTCCCTTTTCACATTGAAGATGATACTACAGCTCCTCACTTCTGTAGCTTGTATGTTGTGCAATGCCCCACTGAAGTTTCACATCTGCTCTGCGAAAGAGGACAAGAATAAACACCTTTCTTTTAGAACAGTCACAAATGGTAAAGCCAGTAGCATTTGTTTGTCTGCTGAATTAGATGTTTGCTGTTATCACATACATGATCTGTAAGCAGAGTCCATGAATTCTGAGCAATATGAAACCTCATGGTTCCATGCAAGTTCAACACTGCCTCTTGTTCTCCCTCTTTTCCTCTCCTCCTCTTAACTGCTGCTTTCCCCAGCCCGAGATACGTTTCCAACTATCATTCATCTGATTTTAAGAACCTTATGGGAGAGAAATTTTTGCCTGATGACTTCTGCCTGAGAGCACCTGGCTCCAGGCTTGTATCAGGTCAGGTGTATCTTAGACCACAGGAAACTGGGTGTTTTCCTTTTGAGGCACTAGGCATTAGGCTCATGGCAACAGTCAAGTCGCCCAAAGTTAAAGGGACAAGAAGCTCCTGTTGCCTTCCTAGTTGAACACACAGTCAGTGAGGAAATCTTATTTTCCCTTGTTTCCTTGCAATGCATTAGTACAGCTTGTAGTAACAGATCCCCTCACAGAGCATTGCATACATGCATCTGTAGTCCTCACGTGCACTGGCCTGTGTGACTTCAGTTTTCCTCAACCTCACAAGTGACATTAACAATGAGTCTCTCCCCATTCAGCTCACACACATCTCTTTATGTCAGAATAATGATCATGTTTATATTTCTTCTTCCATATTCCCAAGATATGCCAAGCGTGGTTTTATGATAGTGTTTTCACGTACCTCTCAGGGAGAGCTGCTGCAGCTGAACAGGACAACTGCAGCATGATAGCTACACTTGGATTCAATATGCAGTTGAAAAGAGGAGAATGATCAGCTTTCTCATTCGTCTACTTCCAGACCTTTAGAAACCCCCCCGTCAGCATCTTGAGTAAAAAATAGGTGACATCTTCAGACCTCAGTAAAACCCCTTACGCGTGTTAACTTGTTTAAATAAACATCCCCACCTCAAGTGACACCGTGGCCTGCAGTCTTCCTTGATCCATCCACAGAGCAAGAGTTATTTTTACTGTCAGTAATCATGCATTGTCTTCCAGAGGAAATACTAGCCGGGTACCCCTGCTTGTAACTTCTTGATCTGCTGCTCCCAAATCACGTTCCAGTGCTTCCTCTGAACTGCTTTTTGTTCTCCTGCCATCAAGGCTAGTGGTAGCTGTGTGGGGGCCAGAAGAACCATTTGCAGTTATTGTTGTATCACCATATGTCACAGTAAGATCACCATCATTCAGAATAAAATCAGAATCCTCCTCTCTAAGTTGTTCTTGATTCTGAAAAAAGAAGAAAAAAAATCTTTGTTCAGTGCACAGCATTTGGTCTTTGCCAAGAAGGCAAATGAACAGAAGAGTTTACATACATGTCAATACAGAAGCAGCAAGTGGTGAAGTACCACCCTAAGAAGTGTTAAAAATAACCCTGAACCCAGTTTGCAAAGCAGCTTACTGCTCCCTGTGCAACCATTGCTATTGTGGAGAGGTGAGGGCAAGCTGAATCCAAGGACTAGATTATGAGAGAGATAACTAGGAATTTAATAGCACTGGAAGCTTACTAGAAGTATAGGAGACATGAGCAGTATACACTGGTTTTTGCACAGCCATTTCAAAGGCAGTACAAGAAAGAGGCTGGAGACCAACCACAATTAAGTTACTCCAGATACAAAGTAGGAGTTGCATCTTTTGCTAATTAGACAACTGTATTAGTAAAAGACTCATGCAAACTAATGAGAACTCATTAGGCCCAAATTCTTTACATTCAAGGTTTCCTCAACAAGTTTTTGTTATAGACAGAAAACTAAACACTCATTTAAACTATCTGCTCACTCCATTTACCTGGTACTAAATGGAAAATTACTTGACCTAGTTCTTAGGAACACTTCTGAGCCATGAAAGTAAGACAGACTCATAAGAGTTTGCTTCATAGTTTTGTAACTACTTCTGATATGTTATCTTTTCAAAGCAATTTAAGAAAGAGGCCCATGAAACCCTATGATTTTATTTTGGCAGCAATGGGATGAAATATGTGGCTGAGGACTAAAAATTGCTGAAGGATAACAAAACACTTAAATTTCCCTAGGCAGCATAACACAACAGCAAGCAATTGTACCATGTTCTACTCCCCTTTAACATGGTCTTCAAAGGGAAAAGAGCTGAATTGGTCAGAAAATGGAGTTTCCTCATATTTGAGGAAAGTTCTCTCAGTACTATCAGCTTGCATTCTTACAACTGAAAGCAAGTATTTCCCTGTGAGAATAGTCCCATCCTGCTTGGCAAAGAGCTGATGTGTGTGTATTGCTGTTCTCCTCAGTAGACCAGACACTGATCAAGCTACATTTCCAAAACAGATCATTTTCTTCCACTTGGGCAAAGGAAGGCAAGCACAGGCTACAGCAGATAGGATGCCTGTCATCAGCCTGATCAGAAAGCCCTACCTGTTCTGCAGGACAGGAGTTCAGGGCACTTCAGATTGGAAACCCTGACTGACCTGTCCACTATGAAAAATGCAGCACCTGGTAAAACCAAACTTTCTGGGAAAGCTTACTGTCATTATTGCAGAATGCTAGTAAGCCAAATTAAAGCAGCAGAAGCCTCTAGATGATACAGAATACTTAACTAATGATGACTGAAAGAGGTGTCAGGAGTTTACCAAACCAATGAAAGAAATGGTCCAGCTCAGTGCCAGGTGCAAGACAAGCCCTACTTAGAATGAATGCTAATTCCTTAGAACCTTTGTAGCATCCAAATATATCATGACTTATTAGAGACAGGGTTACTGTGATAGAGAAGACTCTTTTTTCAAGTAGCAAATACTTTAGGATGCTTGCTTGCTTTGATTGCAAAGAAAACACTGAACTACTGGCACTATCTGAAAAAGAAAAAAGGCAGAAGCAAAGGGTTCAACTGTAGCTGGCAGCAGCAGCAGCCTTTGCAAGCTCCCCACTGCAAAAAAGCCAAAGGGACAAGAGCAAGATGCTTAAAAAAGGTACACCAACTGATCAGCTGTTTAGGAAAATCTGACATGCCTATATATTTCCATTGTTGAAAGAGAGACATTCAACTGCAGATGAAAGGCAGAAAAACTAGAACAAGTGATGAGGAAGCAGTTTGCTACTATAGACTGAGCCAAAGAAGCTGAGAAGCTGTATCATGAGTTGCCTGTCAGGGTGTTTGCCTTTGGGTAAGCACCAAGGAGGGGAATGCAGGGCTGACAGCCCACGAGGAGGTACCACAATAGCAGAACCACGTATGGAGTGGCTACAACAAGCTCACAGAGCTTCTCCTGGCTCCACAACACCATGGAACAGAATGTCCTTGCAGCAAGGATCTAGCAGATAAGAACTGGTAAGAACATAGGGTACACTTGAGATTCCCAAAAAGGCTGTAGAGCTCTTGGAAGCAAGATACTGAGGGGAGAAGGCCACAGGCTTTCTACTATATGGCAAATCCTAACTCAGCCTTTGCTGGTTTGTCCCAGGCTGTACATTCATGTACGTAAGCATGATCAGTTCCAGAGGAAAAACTAAGTTTTCTCTCAGCACAGTGAACAAACATTGCCTTGTATGAGCCAAGCTCCTCTTACTTATTTCACTGCCAAACAGCATCATGAGCAGCAGGCAATTAATTTCATGGTTCCCCAGAGAACATACATGAACAATCCCATGTAGTATGTGGCTTTGCTATGTGTGCAAGCAAAGAGGATGCATGAATAAACCTACTGTGCTTCATGCAGCATGAACAATTCTTTCAAGACAGACAGGAAATGTATCCAAGCAGATCCCTAGAGACTTGAAATTCTTCCAAGAATAACCCTAAACTGGCCTCTGCAGGCCCCTACAGTTCTGTAGGAATAGCTTCAGTTCTCTCAAAAAACATAGGTCTGAACTCAGTACTTAAACTGACAAACTAGAATGGCTAAGTACCTAAATCCAAAACCCTACAAAAGAGAGTGGATTTTGTGTTGATGTGCTGACCACAACCCTGAGGGACCTCTCAGCATTCTGCTCCATTTGTGGTAAAATCTGCTTATGCTCCAGAGAACATGCTGAAGACTTTAAAAACAGCTACATCTTAGAGTTCCTGCTTACAAAGCCAGTCTTTATTGGCTCCTAAGGCAGGGCAACAAGGAGCACATACACAGCCCTGGTAGGCACCAGGTGTTGAACACAGAACAGGCATCATGGATGGCAACATTTCAACCAGAAGCTACCTATCATGGGGCTCCAAAACAAAAGCAGCAGGTAGTATGCATGCAAAATCTATTTCAACTTAAATCTGATGCTCTACTTAAGAGTTCCTCTATTTCTTAGCTGAGTTCAAATTCAGCAAGGAAACGAGACCATTTACTATGAAGCTAGAAGCACTAACAAAGGGGAGGGGGGAGGAATGAGTGAGTTTTCTTACCAGTTTTGAGAGTTACCTCCTCTAAGACTTAGAGACTGCAAATAAAATTTCTTTACTGGGCTTGTGTATTTAGAAAAATTATTTAATTCCCTCTGCTTTCCTACCAAGTTGTCACACTGTGTATTGTGCAAGAATTATGCTTTTAAAAAAATAATAAATAAAATGGGTGGGAGAATGTGTAGGACACAAAACACATCCCTGAACAAACAAGTAAAAAAAATATTCCCAGTGTTTCATCAGGAAGAGCAGTTGATAACATGGATGCTTCTTTTAAGTGGAATAAAAATGCTTGATGAAACAGAGAAGTACCAAAAGTTTCAAAGGACACATCAAATGGGAAGAAAAAGTGAACTACATTAGTCTGGGATAAACTGGAAAGAACAGCCAAATGGTCATGCACTTGAAGATAACACCAGGAGAGAAAAAGAGGAGTGAATTTTTGAAAACTATAATTTTAAACACTGTAACTACAAACAGCCTTTCATTTCTTAAGTTCCAACTTCGATTCTCTTTGGGTAGGAAACACGTATTGGTGAGCCTATTGGCACAGCCTTAAAGCAGCAGGAGAACATCAGCAAGGAACAGCAATGACAGCTGTGGAAAAAAGCCACTGTACCTCATCCCTGCATAATGACTCAGAATCTTACATGTACACCATGCGAAGTCAAGCTTAGAGAACATGATTTCATACTTAGGAATTGCTTGTAGGTGGACTACATGATATGAATATTCAACTTCCAAAGTTTTAACTCCCCTCTTTGGCATCTAATTACAAAAATGTGCTCCTACTTATGGAAGGGAAAATTAATTCTAAATATGGTTGTAATAAAACTGGGGGCAGGGGGCAGAACAACGCCACAACAAAAAGAAAAACCCAAACAAAAACAAAACCCAAAAGCTGGAAACAATACACAAATACACAGTCAGTACAGCCACATACTGGCATGGCTTTCTTCTCAATGTAGATATCGTAACTGCTCAGACATGCACCTGAATGAGATCTAGGATTTACTGCTGCTTTTGGAAACATTTTCCAGCTGTATTACATTCTGTTGAGTATTTACAGTCTTTTTTGTCTAATTCAGTCTTTAATTCTGTCAGATGTACCATTACATTTTGCTGAAAATCTCTCACAAAAGCACAACTATTCCAAGCAGTTTTATGTCCAAAGACATGGTGCTCTCAGTTGCTTCACCTGCACTTCATAGCAAGGCAAGAAGATCTCACAGCTTTTTAGCCAGTAATACAATGGTAAAATCAAGCACTGTAGCAAATCCAAACATGCAAATCCCCAAAGAACATTCAAGCAACTGCAGGGTTCAGAAATCTTGAAAAAAATAGAAAGAAAATCTCAAAGTTACAGGCTGAGGGAGTTGGGGTTGCTCAGCCTGTAAAAGAAAAGACTCTGGGTAGACCTTATAATGACCTTCCAATACCTGAAGGGGCCTATAAGAAGGGAAGAACTATTCACAAGGGCATGTAGCAGTAAGAGAAAGGGTAATGGTTTTAAGCTAGAAAAGGACAGATTTAGGTTGAACATTAGGAGAAAGTTCTTTAAGGGTGGTGGATCACTCTAGGTTTCCTAGAGAGGTGGTGGAGGCCCCATCCTTGGAGACATTCAAGGTCATTCATGGGGCTCCGAGAAATCTGGTCTAGTTGGAGATGTCCCCTGCTTATGGTAGGAGGGTTGGACTAGATGACCTTTAGAGGTCCCTTCCAACCCAATACATTCTATGATTCTTTCCTAAATTTAATGCAGCAATGAACCAAAATAGGAACACACACACACAAGATATATGGATATATATATATATGGAGATATATATATAAAGATAATGAGGAAGTTCTACCTTATATATCTTTAAAAAGTACACAGCCTTACAAGTAATTTTAATTATGAAGGTAACACCCCAAAGAGGGTGTGTGTGCTTGTCACAGAACCAATCCAATTAAAAGATAAGTTTCCACATGCAGTAGTAGCTAAAAAGGAGAAGGAGCCCAACTGTTAGGGAAAATGAAAACCAAAGTTTGCATGTTCATGTGGTTAGATCCTCAGTTACTGGGTAACTGATCTTATTAGATCATACATAGACAGAAACAATGGCAACACACAAGTAGGCTAATTGTAATAATGGGTACCTTGCAGCCTAGATCTGTTTTAAGATCTCCTGTGGCATTGCAAAGATGGAAACAAGGCCAATTTCTTGCATTACTAACAGCTCCAAACAGGCAGCAGACATTTAACATTTCTTTGAAATTTTACTATCAGGTAAAAAGTAAAATACTAATGATACCAGAAAGAAATGTACAGAAGTATTTCAAAGTTCCAAGTGAAATTAATTTTCAAGGACAAGATTAATAGAAATGTGGTCCAAAACTACTTTAACATAGCAGGGATGTTACTGTTCCAGAGAACCTGGACATTTGAGTGATGTCAGGTAGTACTATGGTTTTATGTACAAGCAGTTCATAAAAAGTTGCAGATTTCAGAAGCACTGTGCAGAGAGGAATGACATGTATCAGGATTCTGCAAGAGTAACAGGAGAATGAAGCATTAATTATTTCAAGACGTGTCGAGATAAGGAACTGATTAACGGTTTCCGAAACGTGATGTCAAATTTCACAGTGGAAACAATGAAGGGAAACTCTCCCAGATTTCTTTCCTGCATGGGTAGATGTGTCAGTGTCTTCTCTGAAAGAGACCTCAATACAAGTTTGGCAGTAACAGGGAAGTATCTTGTCTGAAAGCATTAAGAAGTGACTAAGTATTTTGAAGTTAATCACTAAGAACTGGTTATTGATTAGGCCTGTAATTTTTCAGTGTCCTTAAATGTGTTTGTTTGGTGTTTTTTCTTTAACACAGTATTTCAGCAATAAGATAATCTCTGATTTCTACTAACAGAAGCTGTTGCTTTAAGGAAGAGTATCTTGAATCTTTTGTGCCTAGGCCAACCCAGCACTTTCTTGTGAGACCTGTACCACACCAACATTTTGTCTAAAAAAAAAGAGAAAAACAAACCCCTCCTTTGCTGGAGTTAAATAAGTACAAAACAAAACAGAAATATTGAGTTGTTCTACTTACATCATAAACCTGGGGACTTGTCAGACAGCGGGCTATCAGGCCACACCAGCTGGGTAGAGTTGTGGTTAATGGAGGGCCACTGTGAGTGAGAATTGGCTTTAAGTAACTTAAGCAGTTAAGGAAAACACACCAGTGCTGGAAAAGAACTATTAAAAATAAAAAGACAATTGTACACAAACATGGGTCTGACTTGATCTATGTACAATTCCCCCCCCAATATTTTCCCCTTGATCCTTCCAAGGGCAGTTTCTCTACTTACACATTTTCTGCAAGGGTACTAGTTAACTCTCTTACAAGTTTCAAGCAGTGGTAATATTTTAAGCTTTTGGACTCTCTAGGGCCAAAACAAGTGAGCAGAGGTACAAGTGCTTTAGTGTTAATAGGTCCAAAGGTATTCCTGCTCTGCATATGGGAGCAGGGTGCCAAGGGAGCAAGCTAGAGGCAACAAAGTGACATACCTCTGTGGCTCAGTGCAGGAAAATAAGGCAACACTGTCTATCTAACATCCTCCAAGCAGTGCTGCCGCTTCAACTCCTAGCTGGTCACTGAGCCACAGAGATCTTACTCTGGCGAGGCTCAAAGACATCGCTGCAGTGCAGACACACACCACAAAGAGCCTCAGAAATGCAAAGGGTCACACAGAAGGAAGTGTGGAAGGAAAGCAGTGCTACCTAGAGTGCATTGAGAAGGCATAGGGGTGGGAAAGGAAGGTGCCTTTACACCTCTCTTCATATGTCTACCCTCAGGTACATCCATATTCATTCACACTAGTACTCCAGGCTGATGACGTGCCTGAGGAAATGCTGAGGAATCAAAAAAAAGGTCCCTGCTACAGAGCAGCAGGCTGATCTTGACTTGCACAAGAACATGGGGGAGTGTTGGAACTTCCAAGCATTGTCTGACATCACAGGGGTTTGGGTTGTTTCATTATTTTTTTTTAAGTCAGTCTGATTATTTTAAATGTAAATATATATTGCAGGTATTGTAGTTTCTTAGGCCTCTAAGCAGCACGAGGATCAAGTCCATTTGTGAATATAATAGCTTCCTTGATCCTCTCCACACATCAAGGTGCTTAGGAGAAAGAGAGTTAAGCAAGAGGCTTTTTAGCAGAGATGTATCCTTCCCCTTCAGCAGAGCCTGGCATGGCATGTTGACTTGAGTATATAACTGCATGATTATGCCAAGGCAGAGTTAATGTTTCCTGCTTCCCTCCTCCATTAACAGTGTGGCTACACCCAGTTCTGGGAAGAAACAAACTCTTCCTCCTCACACTAACCCACCAGCCTCCAGATTGCCCTGTGGCAGACAGGCACAGTTAACAAAACAAACCCAGTAAAAGACATCTGGGACTTCAAAGTTGCACTTTTCCTTGTGTTTAACAATTGTGGGTGAATCCAGGGAACAGCCCATGACATTAAATGAACTCTGCATTCCACAGGAATGAAGTTCCCAATTATGCATCCACACAGACCTCTGCAGACAATAGCCAGCATCAGAACATTCTGCCAAATGCATCATGCTTGCATCTTTTTCAAGTTAAGTTCCCTTTGCCAAGGGTGAAATTTGAGACTTCAAAATTGCCTTTCTACTCAAAAACCCAGCTGATGTTTGAAGGCCTCCTTGCAACAGAAGAAGCAGAATTTTACCTCTTAAAATACAGTAAGACAGCTCTGCCTCTGGGTGTCAGTTTCCTTATCATGAATTTCATAGAAACCTTTCCCTAAGAAAAATCTTTTCCCATAGAAAATCTTTC